AAAAAAAAAAAACATGGAGCCAAATAGAGGGGTGAAAGCCTTAGAGAGATCTGGGAAATAGGAAAAGCCACCAGCCAACCTTACCTCACCAACTCTGCAGCTTCCAAATGCGAGTTACTTCTTGTCTACCCACTCCTTTATTGCCTTGCTTTCTGCCCTCTCATTGACTATCTCAGCCTGGCTACCTCACTTCCTTGTCACTGTCTGTCTGTACAAACCTCCAGGCTCTATGTTTGGTACTCGGATGAAAGGCGTGTGTCACCACGCTTGGCTCTGTTCCCTAGTGTGGCCTTGAACACACAGAGACCCTGCCTGCTAAATGATAGGGTTAAGGCCATGTCCTACCACTGCCTGACTTTTGTATTTCTTTAAAATGGCTTGCTATTTCCTCTGATCTCCAGGCAAACTTTATTTATTAACATACAAATAAAGTATCACCACATTTCAGCACAAATAAAATATCACCACAGGGAACTAAACCAATTTCTTTTTTGAGACAGCCTTGCCATGTAGCCCAGGCTAGACTAGAACTCCATATCGTCTTCCCTCAGCCTCTGGAGCACTAAGATTACAGGCGTGTGCTGCTGTTCTTAGCCAGGTTTTCCTAAGACTGAGGACTATTGAGCTCATTTGAAAAATGATGACGAGTTCATATTTCCAGGACTTTTTAATTACAGGGTCTTGCTGTGTAGCCCAGGATTGGCAACATAGACCTGAACAGACATAAGATTCTCCTGCCTCCATCTCCCAGGTGCTATCCTGAAAACTTTTAATGAGATGAAGTGAGCAGCCAATATAAGACTTAGCACAGTTCTGGAATTCAACAAATAATGTGTATTTATTTATTTTAAATTTAGCTTAAGACTAACATTCTGGTAAACCATTTGCTATCTGTTATTCCTGAATACTTACTGTTTTTAAAGAATATTTTACTGAATTAATGATGCATGCATTCCTTAAGCCATTTATATCAGTTCAGTTTGGAGGTTCCAATTGCTTAAAGCACCCACATACACACAACTTGTATCTACTGCTTAATGGCATTGGAATGCCATGTTTTAGTACAGCAGTTAACAGAAGAAGTCTGTGTCATATCCATATCCTATCCACAGGTGCAGCACTGACCCCGACCTCAGATAGGTCAGGGTCAGATCATCCCTGAATCCGTGCTCATCTCCATGGTAACCTACTTACCTTTTCCTCTAACAGATGGAGGTGTACTGTTCCGATTTTCATGCTGAAAGAGCAGCAAGAGAGAAGATTCATGAAGAAAAGGAGCAGCTGGCCTTGCAGCTGGCAATTTTGCTGAAAGAGAGCAATGACTTTGAGGATGGGGGCAGGTAAGAGAGAGCAAGAGGAGGTATGCTGGGTAAAGCACACAGGTAGGTCAGCACTCACAGGCATGCTGTAGAAGCCATGTCTTTACACACATCTGAGAACCGCTGTCCCTCCACCTCACCTGCTCAGGTTTCACACTTAGTTCACCTGAGAGCAAAGCTTGACAGATAAAGATAACATTATTTATCCCAGTATCTTACCTGGCCTTAAATTATCTGTTTTAAAAGAAAATACCAAATTCTGACTTTAAAAATTTATTTTTTTACTTTGTTTGTTTGTTTGTTTTTAGGCAGGTCATATCCTGTAACTCAGATTGGTCTAGAATTTGCTATATGCTGTCCTGGAACTTGCTCTTTAGACCAAGCTGGCCTCAAACTCACAGATCTGCCTGCCTCTGCCCCCCAAATGCTGGGATTAAAGGTGTGCACCACCACCACCCTGTGAAGTTTTATGGGTTTTAATTTGTTTTTTTTCTCTTAGCAAGTGAAATAATTTGTTCTATGTAATTGCCATGTAATGTCTTAACCCAGAAATATGCCACTTTTCTCTGATCCACTTTGCTATCAATAGAGAGTTTGGTTATTTCCTGATTTTATAAAGGCCTGATTAGTGTCTTTGTCACATTTTGTCCTGGTAGTAGTTAAGAATCAGGTTAGAGGGGCTGGAGAGAAGCTCAGTGGTTAAGAGTACTGCTGCTCTTCCAAAGGACCCAGGTTCAATTCCCAGCACCCATATGGTACCTCACAGCTGTCTGTAACCTCAGTTTCAGGGGACCCAATACCATCACAAGGACTTGCATGCAGGCAAAACACCAATGCTCATAAAATTAAAATTAAAAAAAAAATCAAAAATCAAGTCAGAGCCAGGTGGTGATAGCATACACCTTTAATCCCAGCACGTGGGAGGCAGAGGCAGGCAGATCTCTGATTTCTAGGACGAACAGGACTTTACAGATAAAGCCCACCTTAAAAAAATAAAAAAATAAAAAAAAAATTAAAAAAAAGGAAAAAGAAAACAAGAATCAAGTTAGTCCTGAGTTCTGGGTGGTTTCACTTTGTTTCATGGCACTGGTGGGTGAACCCAGGACCTCCTTGTGCATGCTAGGCAAGCACTCTGCCACTAAGCTACATTCTCAAGTCAATTCTGGTTCTTATGAATGTCAGCCTTACACTTCTATTCGCTGCTTAATGCTGTCCTGTTGCAAGTAAGTAGTGTTGCTTTTGATCCCAGCAGGCAATCCTTGATGGAAATGCAGAGCCGGCATGGGGCAAGAACCAGTGACTCTGACCAGCAAGCTTATCTGCTTCAAAGAGGTGAGTTACCTATGAGCTAGAATTTCAAGGGAAAACTCCACTACGTTGTGTAGAATGGATCCCAAATCAAACTAGTCGAAATACAGCACCTCATTCCCCAGAATTCCAATCTCCAAAACCCTCTCTCTCCAATCTCCAAAACAGCCCAGACTCTTCACCAGCCACTTAATGCCATGTCACTCCAATGTACCATGTGCTGATCTGAATCCCCCTCTTCACCTCACTCTGAGCCTCTATTTGCATTTATTTAGAAAGGGTTTGCTTTGTTTTATTTTGTTTGTGATGCTAGGAATTGAACCCAGATCCTCATGGAATGCTAGACAAGTCCAGGTCTTAAATGCATGGTGCTAGATTTATTATGAGGTAACAATGTTCTGGAATTTATAGTAAGTTATCAAAAGGGAAGTGTTGTCCTTGATTCTACATAGGAAAAAATAATAATAAATCCAAAGACCTAGCATAGCTAGGAAGGAACAAAGTTAATGGCAATGTTCTACCAGCAAGAAGTCATCTTACATTTCACAGGATTAAAAAAGGTTAAGTACGGGCCAGGCAGTGGTGGCGCTTGCCTTTAATCCCAGCACTCAGAGGCAGAGCCCGGGCGGATCTCTGTGAGTTTGAGGCCAGCCTGGTCTACAGAGCGAGATCCAGGACAGACACCAAAACTACACAGAAAAACTCTGTCTTGAAAAAAACAAAAAAATAAAAAATAAAATAACATTTGGGGTTGGGGATTTAGCTCAGTGGTAGAGCTTTGCCTAGGAAGGGCAAGGCCCTGGGTTGGGTCCTCAGCTCTGGGGGAAAAAAGAAGATTAAGTACTAGACCATCCCAAGTGCCTTTCACCTTTCACATTCTGTTTGGCTTTTGTTGCTGGTGCTGTGATAACATAACCCAACAAAAGCTACATGGGGAAGGGTTATTTTAACTCACGTTTCCAGGCAGGCTGTCATCCATCATTGCAGGATGGTGAGGGCAGCAGGAACTTGAAACAGTCACCTCACAGCCACTGTCAAGGGCAGAGGAAAGTTAATGCGTGCGTGCCTAGAACTCAGCTAGCTCTCCCCATGCTTACCTAACTCAGGACCCAAACCCCAGGAATGGTGCTCCCACCGTGGGTTTCCCATGTAATCAACATAATCAAGACAGTTCCCACAGACATGCCCACAGGCCAGCCTGATCTAGACAGTCCCTCACTGAGACTCCCTTCCCAGGTGGCTCTTGATTATGGCAAGATGACAATGTAAACTAGCCATCACACATACAACTGATTACTTATGTAGTACTACAGTTTAATGGCCAGCAACGAAACATTAGCGTATATAGTATAACTGTTGAATCTGGGGGCAGTCTCTCTGAATGCCATTTTGTATTTCCTCTCTGTCTGTCCCTCCCTACCCCCCCCCCAGCAAAGTCTGTTTATAGGAAAATAAGTTAAAAATAAGTTTAGCAGCCAAGTGTTGTGATTTATGCCTGTAATCCCAGTACTTGGGAGGCAGAGACAGGAAAATTGAGAACTCCAGGCCAGCCTGGGCTAGTCTTTCTAAATAAATAAATAAACAAACAAACAAATAAAACAAAGATTAATATGCATATATGAAAGTATCACAGTGAAACCCACTGCTTTGAATGATTAATGTGCATTGATAAAGGAGCTAGATAGATGACTCAGCAGCTGAGAATACTTGTTGGTCTTTCAGAGGACCCAAGTTCAGGTCCCAGCACCCACATCAGGACACTCACAACTGCCTGGAACTACAGCTCTAGGGGATCTGACCTCTTCTGGTCTCTGTAAGCACCTGAACACATACAACATACATACACACATACATGAATAGAAAAACAATAAAATGAATATTTTACATATGCGTGCACATACTGATTAAAAACAACAATCCTAAATCACAAAATAAATCCAAACAAGAAACATTTGCGTTCATGGAGCATGTGCAGAGGAGATAGGAAGCACATGGCCTGACATAAATACTAACCCGGCACTTTCAGCATCAGGGGATAAAAGCTAACCTGCCTCCAAAAGTTAGGTTGGAGTATGGCAGAGAAAGACACTAGACGTCAACCTGTGGCCTCCACACGTGTACGCACAGTTGAGCATACCCACACATACATATGTGCACACAAAAATCTATACTCACCCACCCCTACCCCACACTTCTTGCTCCAGTGATCGTGAGCTTGCTGCACATGTCTGAGGCCCTAGTTTGACCCTCAGAATTGCAAACAAATCAATCAAAATACCCAAAACTTGCTCACCACAAGTCATGTATTGCCTTCTGTGTCATAAGTTCAAGCAATGTGCTTTGAAGCAAACATATGTTAAAGGCCATTTTCTTTGTCATACTTCAAAAATGATGCTTGGATGCTAGTCTAAGACTCTAAAATGCCAAATTGGTAGAGCGCTTGCCTAGCAAGTGCAAGGCCCTGGGTTCGATCCTCAGCTCAACAAAAAAAAAAAAAGACAAAAATATGGTCCATAAAGGTCGCGTAAAGATGCCCTGGAGACAGAAGCACTTTTCAGCATTAATGGCATTTTTTTTTTTTTAATCAAAGATCTACTTAGAGTTGGGACGCATTTCAAATACGTTTTGTGAAGAGCATCATGGCAATGGGAACATGTGGAGGAGGAGGCAGCTGTTCACATGGTGGTGGACAGGAGGCAGAGATGAGGACAGGGTCAGGGTGCCCCAGAGCCCCAACACACACGCACTGACCTACTTCCTCCACATAAGCGACACCTTCTAAAGGTCCCACAGCCTTCCTTCCCACAATAGTGCTGCCATCCAAGGACCAGGGCATGAGCCTCTGGAGAGATGCGTCATACCCACAAGGCCTTCTGCAGAGCCAGGGGCTCCTCTTAATTGTGCTGAACCCCCGTGCCTGAGGCTGCACCTGCTGCCTTTTCTCCTGGCTTCCCCACCTCATTGATATCCCAGCACAGAGTGGTACTTTCCTACATCCTGGAGGGTTCCCCATCCACTGAATAAGGAGATGGTTGTCTGCTTCTGAGAATGGGCATGTCCTTCCAGGAAGCCTTCCCCAGCTTGTTTAATCACTCTTTCTTTTGTTTATATCCCATCTACCTCTTACTCTTGTGGACTTAATTCTTAATAGAATGTGTCTTGTCCTGTATCTAGAATTGAAACTATGATTTCACAGACCTTGAGCTTGAGATGCAGTTTAAATGTTACTATTTTTAGGTTTCTCTGTGTGCATAGTCATAATTTCCACTAATGACCCAAAAGTATGCATTTGCATCCCACCAGATACTGATTACTAAGTTTAACAGATGCTCACGTTAGCCATCTGTTACGAAATTCAGGCCAAAGTGCTCTTGAGATGGAACTGATGGCGCATGTCACTTCTTGTTTATTCCCAGGAGCCGAGGACATGAGTTGGGGACAGCAGCAGCCGCGGAGTATTCCGATTCACTCTTGCCCCAAGTGTGGGGAAGTTCTGCCGGACATGGACACACTACAGATCCATGTCATGGACTGCATCATTTGAGTGTTGTTTCAGCTCCCCAAAATGTTGGTAAATGCCAGATTTCTCCTCCAAGACTTGTACTTCTGTCTCATTTGTTGTCACACAGATACTTTTGCCACATTATCCTTATTTCAGGAGAAAGAAAACGTACCCGTCCTAAGGAGACCATCTCTGGACTGACACGAACTTACAAAGTAGAATCTAGTTACCGCCCTTCCAATAAGAGATCCAGTGACTTCCCTCCCGAGAGTCACTGAGAGCAGTCAGCCGGAATGACATATGTTAAGAACCTTTATGAGACAGGAAAATGAAATGGTCGGGAAATGTGTCTGGAGCGCTTTTCTAGGCTGCTCTTCACCCTGCAGACATGTTGTTGTTTTATGTGTAACTATTCAGAAGCCTCCATCTGGCTCTCTGCCTGAGCACTGTGAGCGTTCTGTTGCTATCAGGCTGGTGAGCGCCGGGAATGCGGCCCAGGGGTGGAGTGCTTTCCCACAGCTGGTCGCTGTGAGCACACCTTCCGTCTTTTTTGTGCTGGAGGTGTATGGGCTAGTGTAGCACAGAGTTCAATTTTAAATAGAGCAGCTCTTTGCTCCCCACATGAAGTAGAAGCTTACAGACATCAGTTATCACAAACTAAGATTTTGCTACAAGTCTGTCCCATGGCTCATATATGACCAGTAACATTGTAGTGTGTATATGAAGGTTATTAATATAACCTTAATACTGAGATGTTTTATTCATGATAACAGGAGCAGATCCTTTTCAGGGGGTCATCACATGTTCAAATGAGATTCCTGCTAAAATGGTGAACAGAGTCAGGCATGGTGGTGCATAGCACACCTGCAATTCTAGCACATGGGAAACTGAGGCAGGAGATCACCAGCTCATGGCCAGCCAGGGCTACATACAATAAATAGGGATTTGACATATTTTCTGTTAAAAAGGCTAGCAAGAACTAAACAGGTCACAAAAGTAAACAGTATCAAATCCTAAAACATTTAAGAGAACATGAGAAGGTCTGCTTTGTTTTTGCTTACCATGAGATCTCTAAATACACACAGCTGTGTGTTTAAATAGAGTCAAAACAGTTGCTTTATCTCAAGGGAACAGCCCATCCAAGTTGCAGTTATCTCCATGCCTGAACAGTTTCCCACACTGCAAGACAGTGGAACACTGCACTGCCTCAGCAGTGGTTGGCTTTGATTCTCCCACTTGCACCCCAGAGACAAGGTTTGTTAATAACATTTCTAAAATGACAGTGAAATCTTTTCTTTTCTTATAGTTTCTAGTACAAATTTCTTTATTATTTTATAATAGATAAAGTAGATTTCTAAGTATCCCAGATAGAGGAGGAAACTAAATGGTTTCACAATGAAGTTACTGGGAAATTCCTTTCATTTTGTTCAAGTATAATTAATCTGATAAATCCGAACTGTGAAGTGAGAACTCAGGGGTCTTGATAAGGCCATTTGTTTGATCATGAAGAAGATTAGAGATGAAGGCAAGTTCAAGTTAAGACAATTGGAGAGATGTCTGTATACCATCTTTGTAGCAGCATTTTCTGCAGTAGCTAGGATATAATGCATCTAGGTGTCCATTCACCTAAAGAAAATGCAATACACATATATAATGAAGTAGTATTCAGCCTTTAAGAATAAGGAAATCTTATCACTTTAACATAGATAAACCCGGAGGACATCATGTCAAATGAAATAAGCCAGTCATAAATACCACAGGATCTCACTTATATGTGGACTCTGAAAAAATGGAACTCATAGATGTTGAGAGCTGAATGGTGGCTAGCAGCACATGAGGGATGGTGTGAGAAGGGTGAGAAGATGTGATCAAAGGGTATGAAGTCTCAGGAGAGATATGCTGTCATGATCTACTGTACAGAATAGTGGCTGCAATAATTTGTATAGTAAACAACTTGTAAATGCTGTGTGTGTTATCTGATTTATTGAATCTACTCTCTGTTCTAAGGCCTTGTTCCATCTTACCAGTTAGCTGCAAGTCATAGGACTTTTGTGCATGCTATTTTCTTTCTTCCTTTTCTTGTTTTGGTTTTTTTGAGACCTGCTTTCACTATGTATCCTTGGTTGTCCTGGAACTCACTATGTGACCAGGTTGGCTTCACACTCACAGAGATTCCCTCCTCCTTCCTGACTGCTGGAATTAAAGGCATGCATCACCATACCCAGCTTATGCATGTTATTTTTGTGCCTGGTCATCATCCATGTGTTAATAGCATGATTATCTGCACGTGTTAATCAGACTTTTGTCACTGTGACAAAACATCTGTCAGAAAACTGGAAAGGAAGAAAGCTTGCATTTGGCTCGGTGTTTCAGCCAGGGCAGGCGTGGTGGACCTGGGCAGCTCACACCATAGGAGGCCAGGGAGCAGAGAGAGATGCCTGATCCCACGGGCTCCCCACCTGCCGGGTATGCTGCTTATGTTTAGTGCCACTCTGTCCCTCTCTGGAAACTCGGGAGAGCTACTCATCTCTAGGGTTCTTAGCAATCCATTCAAGCTGACAATCAAAATTGCTCTTAGCAAACCCCTCAGGTTGCCAGGCTTGCACAGTGAGCACATTACCAACTTAGCCATCTCACCAGTCCCACATCCTTGTTAACATTTGTTGTTTTCGTTCTTTCTCTTTCTGATAATGGCTTTCTTAACAGATGAGATATATATCACTGTCGTTTGGCTTTGCGTTTTCCCAGTGGTCAGTTATTTTAAGCCTTCTATATACCTGTTGATGAGTCTTTGGAGACATGTCTGTCTACTCCAGTCCGTCCTTTGCCCATCTTTAAATTGCATTATTGGGTTTTGTTCCGTTTCTAGAGCAACATGTTTTGGATATTAACCACTTTGTACACCTGCCACCCACCCACCCACAGTTTGCTTAGCAAACATTTCCTATCATTCAATAGTTGGTCCTTTCAACTCTGATTATTCCTTTGCCCAGACTTCTTTTATTCTGATGTAGTTGAATTACACTTATTTTCAGTTTTTCTTCTGCTTTGAATAAATGACTAATAGTGAATGACTGTTGAGCACAAAGACTAAGCAGAAGCAGAGAATCTGTATTACACAATCCAAAGCCCAGCGAATATCACAGAGGGGAACCAGAAGATGGGAGGGGTGCTATGATACTCTGGCCATTGCCTGAACTCACAGCTTGTGTGGACACCTGCACAATACCTACACAAGGTGGGACTCCCGTGAACATCCTTCACGGATGAAGAAAGCGCTCACAATGCCCTACCCGTCCTTGAAGAGCTGTTGACAGTTAATGGGCTACCAGAGGAAGGGGACTCATTCTCCTTAGTCATGTCCTCACTGGTAAGTTGCCCACACATTAGTAAATAACTCCCCTCTGTGCTCATGTAAGCTACCCTAAAGAACTCAATGGTTTCATTAAGACATGCCCATAGCAGGAGGATTAGCTGGGAAGTAGGCAGCAGGAAAGGACAGAGATCAGAAAATCAGGGAGGATTATCGGATCAAAACACATTGTATTCATGTATGAAATTTTCAAAAAATGTATACATATAAAAATTTCAAAATGTCAGTTTTTCTAACTTAATCTATAAATTCAATGTAATTCCAGTCAAAATCCTAGCAAGCTATGTTGTGGGCATCAACAAAGTGACATCTAAATTTTAAATGGGAGGGTATTATAAAAGATCTGGGGGTTGGGGATTTAGCTCAGTGGTAGAGCACTTGCCTAGCAAGCACAAGGCCCTGGGTTCAGTCCTCAGCTCTGGAAAATTAAAGGATCTGAGGTAGCCAACACAGTTTTGAATAATGAAGTCAAAAGCTTTGTTAAATTTCTGGTTGTTGCTACTGTTTTGCTATTAAGATGTGTTCATTATTTATTTTGGGACATTAACCACTTTGTGTGTGTGTGTATACATATATATGTATGTATGTATATATATGGTTTTCAAACAACCTCAATACACTGAAAAACTATAATCAAGACTAGAGTATTGGCAATGAAACAAACAGATGATAAAGAATGGAGTACCCAGAAAGAATCAAACTCATACAAATGAAATCAACTAATAGTTGAGGATGAGAGCAGGGCCACATGGAGGGAGGGGACATCAGGATGAAGGCTGTTCTATCCACTCTGGCTGCTCTGGTCATTGGTTCCTCTACTTCACAGTTTCTGGACTTCTGCACCAGAGGCTCCTGGAACTCATTTTGTAGACCAAGTTGGCCTCAAACTCACAGAGATCTGCCTGCCTCTGCCTCCTGGGTGCTGGGATTAAAGGTGCGAACTACCACTGCCAGGCATCTGAGGCCCCTAATCTTAGAGGAATCTGAACTAGATTCCAGAAACTGTGTGAACCACTGAAAGCATGCAAACTCTTGACAGTATGTATTTTTCTAGAAAGAAAGAAAAAGCTACTAGTTTTTTTTATTTTCTCAAAGAGGTCTTGTGAGTACCCCCAGCACTGCCCCCCCCCCAAAAAAAATTAAGAACCGCTACATGGGGCATCCCTGTTTGTAATACTACCACTCGGGAGGCTAAGGCAGGAGGACTACCAGGAGTTCAAAGCCAGCTTGGGCTAAACGGCAAGACCCTATCTTAAAAGAACAAACACAAAGGAAAAAACCCTGCAATATATTAAAGCTATGTGGGCCCCAGTTTGTTGTTGTTTTCTTTTTCTAAAGAAAGTGAAGCCTCTCTTCAGTGCCTGGATTGAAGAGAAGCAAGCTGCTCCAGGTCCTTTCTTCATCATTCTCTTTCTTAGTGTTAGGGTTTAGATATGAAGTGTCCTCCCCAAAAGATTCCTGTACTGAAGTTCTGGCCCCCAGTAGAAACAATGTTCAGAAGAGTATCTTTGAGATCATGGGGATTAATCCACTGATGGATTCCAGGTTTTAATAGACTGATGGGATGTGGTGGAACTTTGGAAGGCAGAGCCTAGTTGGAGAAAGTAGGTCACTGAGTGCAGGAATGATAAACTTCGTTCTTGGCCTTCTTGTCATCTTGCTTCCTGGCTGCATTGAGGTGAGCAGCTCTGCTCAACCACACCGCACCTCTTCTGCCATGCTCTGCCTCATCAGCCATACCCTTCCTCCATGCTCTGCCTCATCCACCACACTCTTCCGCCATGCTCGGCCTTTCGGCCATGCTCTGCCTCATCAACACACCCTTCTGCCATGCTCTGCCTCATCAGCCATACCCTTGTACCCGACCAAAGTCTAGAAACAACAGAACCAAAATCGTTCCTGTGTTGTCTTAGGTATTTTGTCACAGAAGTGAAAAGTCTGCCTAACATACACACATGTCATTCTGAAACCAAAAACAGACTCCATTAAATATGTACTTCCCATGTTCCCCACTAAAGTGCATTACCTCAAGAAACACCCAGTTGCATAAGTCAGAAATTTATCAGCCAGCTTCTGTCTAAATTTCCTCTACCTCCTTTCTCTCTCCCTGATATTCCACATTCAGTGGATTCTGAATCTACTTCATTTTTCTTTTTTAAATCACTAGCTCCTCTTTCTTTAGAATTGCCACTAAACCAATTTCCATACAGACTGCTTGGTTTTCCACATCCATCTGTGCTTGAGGGGTTAGAATTATCCTCATATTGCATGGGAAGCAAAGGTTACCTGTAAAGTTAAGGAGAAGAAAGGAACTTCAGAATACCAACAAGAATTAAGTCTATCTAGACAGGTAGTGGTGTCCCACACCTTTACTGCCAGCACTCAGAAGGCAGAGACAGGCGGATCTTCGAGTTCGAGGCCAGCCTGGTCTACAGAGTGAGTTCCAGGAAAGGCCTCACAGAGAAACCCTGTCTCAACCCATCCCCCAAAAAAGAATTAGTTGATCTAATTATTGCGGTCTTTCCATGACTGTGAATTCTTCACACTGATATTACTCAGGCTCTAATAATGGTGAGACAGAGTTCATAAATGGAGCATTAGTATCTATGGAACAACAACAACAAAACCCATGTACATGGCAGGATTTTTTGTTTTCTAGTCATCTTGAAGCTAGTTTTAATTATGCAAAAAAAAAAAAACGAACATGACCACAAGGGATAGATATACTGATACTGTGTTATCTAAAACCAACTGGAGGAATTTAATCTCTGAATAGTGTCACTTGGCACTGGGTGTGGTGACTGAAGCCTGTAATCCCAGCACTCTCGAAGCCGAGGCCAATGGTTTCAAGAATTCTAGGCCAGGGCTTTGAATACAACTCAGTGGTAGAGTGGTGTTGCTTAGCATACATGAGCTCCTAAATTCAATTATCAGCACAAAAAGAAAAAGAGGAGGAGGAGGAGGAGGAATCCTGAGACACGCCAGGCCCTGCTACATACTGTCATAAGAGAGCAAGGAGGGCAAGGTGACTCATGCCTTTAATCCCAGCACTCTAATCCCAGCATGTGAGAGGCAGAGACATGTGGATCTCCGTGAGTTCAAGGTTCACCTGATCTACATAGAAAGTTCCAGGCCAGAGCTACATGGAGAGACCCTGTCTCAAACAACAAAATTGTGCATGGAAGTATTTCTTATTATGGAGGCTAAATATTCTGCATTTGGAAACTTCTTTAGTACTATGTATCAACACCTTCTAGGATGTAAATACATAAAGTTTGACTTTTGCTGAAGAATGATCTAATTATTCTCAACTCTGACATAAACCCTAGTTCCCCAAATCTGCACTATTCTAGGAATATTGGTTTCTGAGTCCAAAAATATCATCTAGCCTTCCCTCATTTTACAGATGGTGAAACAAAATCTGAAGAGATACTAGTTTCTGTACGTCAGAGTGAAAAGTAGAAACTTCCGTCTCTCTGTATTTAAATCCTAATATCTAAACTGGGCGGACACAAGATCAGCAAAGCTGGTTCGGACTTCGATAGGTTCCCTTGCTGACATCAGAGAAACCTGTGAGGAGAGGAGTGAGCATC